CCCGCGGGTCGCCCCTCGTGTGTTTGGCTGCTCAGACTGGCTCACAGCTCTGTTGCCGCGCTCTTTGGCTGCAGTAAAGATGCAAACACTGCGCAAAACCTCCCTCCCTCCAGCTGTTCCTGTAAAGCCTCGGGCTGCAGGCCGTTCCCCCCGCCTGCCCCTCTCTGCAGAGGATCAGCTCCCCTGTTTGTTTGAACCCTGCACTCTTCCCTTCCGCTCCACGTGATGCCTTGGGCCAAACATCGCCTTAATCACCCCTGGGCTGGCGTTGACTCCGCCGTGCTGGTTGCAACTCCTCCAGCATGATTGTCAGCTTGACGATCCGGGCGCTCGTGATGCTCCCCTTGGGGTTCTGCTGGCCGTCGGCTTTCCAAGAGGTGAGTTTGACCTCCAGAAAATGCAGTTTCCAGGAAGCCTTTTTTATTTCTAGGAAAAAAAAGAAGAGACAACACAACGTGTTCTAAGCCAAAATCCATCAAACCTCACTAATCAAGAAGATAAAGCTGTTTCCTCTGGGTGGCTGTTGTGCAGCCCGTGCTTAGTGCAAAAGTAAGCCATGAGAACTTGGCATCGGTACTTGTTGAGTTGTTCGCTGGCGTTCCTTCCAGGTTAGGTTTAGTTAAGCGATAGTCTTGTATCCATTTGTTTTTCTTAAAAAAATGTAAAGCTATTCTTCTTCTTGCAGAAATTTCTCGGTGCTTTGGATGCAGAAGATGTTTTCTCTTATTTTGGAGCCAGCTCAGTGTCTGACGGTATGCAGGGCTCCTTCTTGATTTTGGAACACGTCTGTCAGTTTATTTCTAATCCTGTACATTTGATAATGCTAAGAACACTTACTGACGAACCCTGATCTGACAAGAATTTAGCATTTCTGAGTCGCATTACTCAGTGAGGCAATCCATGTTTCAGTGTGAAAGCGGTTGAAGAACTGGGTCAGTATTTAAAGTCTGCTGAAGGAGATATGATAAATCTTTTTGCACATTTCTCCCACGGTCCTCACTCTGTATTGGTATTTTTCTATGAGATTAGCAGATCCAGGTCTCCTGAGTGGGAAGCTTTAGACTAAGAATCACTTTAAATGCATTTGATAATTTTTTTTTTTAAATAAACACGTGGAGAGACCAGTATTCTGAGTCTGGACTGGTGGTATGATGAATAAAGTGTGTTTTCAGAATAAAGGTATGTTTTAAATTCCCAAATCCTTAAAGCAAGGATGTTGTCTACTTGAGAGTTCACCTAGTGCTCATCCCAGTGTCTCTGTCTGGATTATGATAATTCTCACACAGTAATACTTAACATCTGAGGAAGCAAAACTATCTCAGCCATTGTTAAATGAACTGTTCCTCTTATTGAGAGAGCAGAAGTGCTGATAAATCAGGAGCCAATTTCAGAGCTGTTGCCTGTTCCCAATCAGATTATCCTCACTTCGGAATACATGAAAACGTAGTTTTTTGACTGTTGACATGATGACCCCAAAAGGCCACAGTTGTGATTTGAAGAGTATTTTTTCCTAGGGAGTTAGATCATTACATTTGTTTTCTGTGTATCATCGTTTCTCATAACTGTTCCCCTTGTTTGTCTTGTTTCATTTCTTTCAGTACCTGAGTTTGTTGTTGCTGAGCCAACTTGCCCTTGTAAAGAAGAACAGATGGGGCTGACATCCTGTCGTATTCAACATTGCTCCATCGAGGCCTGGGGAGAACTCTATGCCTTTGAGTTTCTAGAGGACCATGCCCTCCTTTCCTCTTCCTTTGTGAGCAATCAAGTGGTGAACTCTTCCTTTAGCTTACTGAAGCGATTCTCAGGCAACTGCTTTGCAGGTGGAAATCCACTGCAACCTCCCGGGGCTAAGTGTAGAGTCACTTACTGTGAAGGGCAGCTGGTGAGTATGCACTGAAATTATTCTTAAAAGCATTTACAGCCTTTGTAGGTTTGCAGCTTGATGCACCAAACATGTGTGAACCATCCATTTAATGAATCGGAGCATTACAAAGGAGAAACAGGAAGGATATGGCACACAGTTCTGCACTGATAGCAAATGTCTTTGGAATAACTCAGAGATGGAATTTCATCTCCTTTAGCAAGGAGTTGTCACTGCAGATGAGGAAAAGATTCATATCAGGCCTGTCAGAAGCAAAGATATGGCCCTGCTGAAGGACCTCGGCTTCTCCAGACCCCACATCCTCTTCAGAAGTGCCGCAAGAGGAGAAAATACAGCAAGAGGTAACGTACATGGAGAGGAAGTCCTGCTAGTTCTGCTTGGAAAAGCTGTCTCCTGGTAGTGAGGTTGCTTGCTTGAGTTCAGAGGAAAAATCTGTATCTGCAAGTATATGGGTATAATTGATAGACATTTCTTACCTCACTGCGGTGTAATTAGTGTATTTTCATTTAGGTATTTGTTATTTTGTTAGCGTAAGTGTGTTATTAAGGATGCTGGCAAGTGAAAGAAACTAACAGAAGTGGGAAACCTGAGCAAGCAACTAGAGGAGTGGTCTTCCAGCTGGATTATTCTAGTCTTTCAGGAAAAGGGAGTGGATCTGTAGGACCTTTTATGTCTCCTTTCATTTCAAACTCCCTGTGTCCCTTTGTGCTGTTCAGCA